AAAGATTAAGCAATTCAGGATCCTAGCTCTCTCACTTTCCTCAGAGACACAACCAACAACAAGGTACACGCATACATGAAATTACTGAAGGTTAGAAATTTCCTCCATTGTGACGAACCCGGCAGTTAAATTCAGTCTTCATCTTACAAGATCTCTCAGTAGACCTCTGAGTTCTACAACTACCTCTTTGAAATACTGGACTCAAGTTAACTCCCAAGAGACCTTACTCTTCTGATTTTCCTTCTACATCATTAACTGCTTCCTATTAGTCTCCTATGTTGGCTCTTTCTGTTCCTGACCTCAAAATGTTGCATGATCCACAACTCAGTCCTCAGATCAACTCTTACATACTGTCTACCTAGGTTATCTCACCCAATAAAAAGCTTCACATATACAATGCTGATGATGTACATCTCTAACCCTAATATCTCCTTGAGATTTAGATTCAAATACAAAGCTACTACTTGCTATAGCCACCTGGATGTTTCAAAATAATGTCAAATGTCCAAACCACGAACTCTTGATAATCACTCACCCCACTTTACTAGTCTCCAATTCTGCCTGATCATAGCAAATGACACCACCATCCAACCAGTTGTTCAGACCAAAATTCCTGGAATCATTCTTGAATTCTTCCTTTACCTCACACTCCAGATCTAATTAATCAACTGTTCCTGTGAGCACTATTTTCCAAATGTTTCTCTGCAGTAGATGCTGTGGTGAACTACAGCTCTCAGTTGAGCTCTTCCTTCATGTTGGTCTGGGCTGAAAAGACTCACCATGCCTAAAGTCACTCCTTGGAGGCAGCTAACGTTCCATAAGTAGGGGGAGGGGGCATAAGAGCCAGGGGCAGGTAATAAACGCCTGGCATTCTTGCCTCAAAGAAGGACAACTCTAAAGAGCTACCCCAGATGCAGAGCTCCTCTTGAATTGTCTGAAGCTTCTGCTGCAACTCCATCACAGCTCAACTTCTCCCTCTCCAATCCTGCTTCCTCCAGCTCTCACGGGTATCCCTAGGAGCACTCCCCAGTAAACTTCCTGCACACGAATCTGAGTATTAGAGGCAGCTTTCATGGAACACAACCTAAGACAGCTGGTATGAGACATGGTCTTAGGAAGCAGACTCCACATGATAACAATATACCATCCTTGGTGGTAGATGGTGAACTTCGATGGGAAGACAATGCACTATCTCAGCTTTTGATAAATTTGGGAAAAATACTATATACAAGTACCATGGAGTTGGATGGATGTTACTGCAAGCCATCGATGCATTGGAAAAAAGGCCAAAAATGATAACAGCACCAAAAATGTGGTAAATACAGTGGAATTTATTCTGTCTTTAAAAGGAAAGATTCTGATATCTGCTACAGCACAAATGAATTTTGAGGACTTAATGCTAAGTGAAATAAGATAGTCACAAAAAGACAGATGCTGCATGATTCCACTTACATGAGGTACTTAGAGTAGTCAAAATCATAGAGAAAGAAAGTAGAATGACGGTTGCCAGGGGCTGGAGGGAAGGAGGAATGGGGAGTTATTTTTTAATGGGCATAAAGTTTTCATTTTCCCAGATGAAAACAGTTATGGAGACAGACGGTTGCACAACACTATGAATCTGTTTAATGCCAACGAACTGTATAGTTAAAAATGGTTAAGAGAGTAAATATTATGTTATGTGTATTTTACCACAATAAAATAATTGGGACAAAAATCACATCCCAAAATAAATAGTACAGATGACTACTTATAACCTTACTAAGGAGTTCAACAATGGAGGTCTCCATCATTTAATTGACCATTCTGAGTCCTACAAAACCTAGACAGATTAGCGTGGAGATGACTGTGGACTACTTCAAACTCAACCAAGCAATAGAGGAGTCTATTGCAACTGTGGATCCAGATGTGGTATCTTTACCAGAGCAGATTACCACAGCCTCAGGGATACAGCATATGGCCGTTGATCTGGTGAACCTATTTTTTTCCATTTACCAAGGAAAACCAGGAGCAGTTGGCATTCACATGACATAGGCAACAATATACATTTAAATCTCCCACCCTCTATCACAAAGGGACCTGGTCCATCTACATATCCACTCTATTGATGACATCATGTTAATTAGACTAGATGAACAAGAAGTAGCAATATGTTGGAGGCCTTGGTAAGATACATGTACTCCAGAAGGTGGGAGATAATAGAGTCAATGAAGATTCAGGGATGTACCACATCAGTTAAGCACTTCCAGGACCAGTGGGCTGGAGCATGTCAGGACATATCCCTACCACCACCAAAATAAAGGGCAAACGACTACATCTCATACCCACCTAAGATGGAAACACACACCTGAGGCCTCTTTCAGTTCTGGAAGTAACATATTTCAAAATTCAGAAAAGTTCTGTGACCCATTTCTGAGGAACAAAAAAGGTTAACAGCTTTTCAATGGGGGCCATAGTCAGAAGAGCTCTTCAGCAGATCGAAGCCCTGCCTCTTGGGCCACCTCTATGGTACTGCAAGTACCAGAGGTTAGGAAAAGATGTTGTGTGGGGTTTATAGCAAGCCCCAAAAGGTGGATCTGCAGCAGAAAACTGTAATGGTTCCTGGTATGCTATGGGGTCCTGGTGGAAACAGGGTGCTTAAATATGGGACATCTAATAGCATACAGCCAGGATTGCCTATCTTGTACTGTATTTTGTCAGACTCACCAAGTCATAAGTTTTGGTGATTCCAGCAGCAAACCATATAATAGAACAGTATATCTGAGATTAAGCATAAGCAGAATCAGAGCACAAAAAGCCCCACAACATGATCCAACTTTTCACTCCCCACCCCTATTATACAATTACTTCTCCCTAAACTCACACCTACAATGTATTGTAACTACATTGGGATTCAATTTGGCCAGCTCACATAGGAGCAAAAAGGATGAGCTTTATTCATGGATGCATTTCTTAGTATGTGAGTGCAAACTGAAAAAGGCTGGTTATGCACTAGTCAGCACTACTCAGGAATAATCTTGAAAGAGAGCAAGGAGAGTACATCTGCCCACTGAAAAGAATTTCAAGTAGGGTACAAGATCATTTACTTTATGTAAAAAAGAGAAGTGGCCAAATATAACATATATAGACTCATGGACAGTGGTGAATAGCTTGGTTAGATGGTCAGTGACCTGGAAGCAAAAATAATTGAAAAATCAGCGACAAAGAGTCTGGGGAATATGCACAAGGATGATCTACAGGAGTGGACACAAAGTAAAAATATGTTTACCTTGTATGGCCACTACCATGGAAGAGGTACAAAACAACCAAGTAGACAGAATGACCCAGCCATCCTCTATCAGCTGACGTAATGAACACCAGCGCTAACACACTGGTATAGTGAATGGAATGGTCATGGTGATGAAGGTAGACCCATGGGCCAAACAGCAAGGGCTCCCATTCACCAAACCTGATACTGCTGCTGCCTAATGCCCAACCTGCTAGTATCAGAGAGGAATACTGAGTCACTGACATAACATCATCCCTTCAGGAAACCCACCAGCCATTAAACAGCAAGTTGATTACTCTGAAACTATCCCATTCTGAAAGGTGCAGTGTTTCATCTTGACATATTTGAGGTGTGCTTGCCTTGCTTGCCTGGCAGAGCCTCAGCCAGCAGGACAATCCAATAGCTCAAGAGTGTTTGATGTTTTGACATAAAATTACACATTACACTGCATCAGGTGGAAGGTCTTACTATATGGCAAAGGGGCTGTATAAGGACTTTAAGATCCACTAGGCCTATCACAGACAGCACTATCTAGAGGTTGCTAGCCTGATATAGTGACAGAACAAATAAGTGATTTTCTCCCAAGTGACAGGTTGGAGATGATACCATTCTCTAAGACCTAGGGTACACCCTAAATCAGTACTCATGCTAATGTATCTATATCCCTACCATTCCTCTCTGATTCCTACCCTGCTCTCTCAGGTTTCTTCTCTGATATTCCTTCTCAGGTAAGCAGGAGCGTGAGATACTTGACAGGCTGAGGCCCAGTGTCCTGGAATTCTTGGAATTCTGGACTAAGTAGAAGCAAATAAAGCAGAGTGGGAAGACAGGTATGAGATAAAGATATAAAAATCAAATCAGAGCAATCTGTTCTGGAGCACAGAACCCCTGAGGAATTTCCTGAGCCATGGGAATAGTCTGGACTTCTAACACATCTCACCCATAGAGAGAGGAAACAAGTGGGGAGATATCTGAGGACTGTTTAGCACTAATAGAGGGGAAATATAATAATTGTTTTCCAGTGATATCTTGAAACTTTCACCTCACCAGTATTTAAATAATTAAGACTGGTCCAGAGAAGGAAGATATCCCTAATTTAGGCAAGGCACTAAATCAATCAGCTGAAGTGTAAACCCACGGATCAAGGTCTGATTCCCTCTAAGACCTTTGGTGTCCGAGCAAGAAAGAGTGGGGCGCCTGGGTGGCTCAGTTAGTTAAGCAGCGCAACGCTGGGATTCTCTCTCTCCCTCTCTCTTTGCTTCCCCCCCCCCCCCCACGCCCTCACAAAATAATCTTAAAAAGAAAGAGAGAGGGCAGCTCCGGGGACCTATCTGTGCCTGTCTTTTGTGCAAGGCTCTGAAGCGTGAACCTAGGCTGTGAACATCTTGAGAAAGGAGAAGGTCTCTTACTCATGAATTCACAAAGGCTAACACAGCCCATGAAATTCTGGGCGCGTTCAGTAAATGTTGAGTCACCAGACACGCACTCAGCATCTCCCAGTGCAGAGAAGACTCTGACCATGGTGGAAAGTGACTGTCGTAAAAAGGCTGAGAACGCTTTTCGTTGGGCTGGGCAGCATTATTCTGCGTGACGGGTGAGAGGGGGTGCTCACGGAAAAGAACCCCACCCTTCCAACACAGCTCCTGGAAAAAAGCTTTGCAAAGCGCAAGTACGGCTTCACCCTCTGCCCAGCGTCTCCCCACACTCCCGGTGCCACATTCCCTTGGTCACTCACCCTTTCCGAGTTCTGGTCAAACGAGAAGCCCCAGTTTTTCAGCCCCTCCTGGAGCTCAACGATGTCCACCAACCCGTTCCCGTCGCGGTCCAGGTCTTGGAAGAGGATCCCGAAGCTGAAGTCATCTTCGTCTTCCTGGCAGGCCACCCCTGGCAGCACGAAGCCCCGGAGCCAGCGCAGCATGGCCCAGCCCGCGAAGGCAGGGGGCCGCTCGGCCAGGCGAGGGCGTCCCGCCCCGCCCCCGGCTGCGTCGAGACAACGGCCCGACGCAGCCTCGGGGGCGAACGCACCCGTGCCGCTGGGCCGTGGAGGGCCGCCTCGTGGGAAGCCAGGCCCCGGGGCCTTGCGAGGGTCCGTCCGCGTCAGAACTTGCAAGTTGAGGCACCAGACGTTTCGGCAACCTGCACCCAGGGCCGTCTCGGGCCCACGAGCGACCCGGGAGCTGAGGAAGGCTTAAGCAGGGAGGGCGCGCGTTCCCCAGGCGGCGTCGAAAGAGCTTCCGGATGTTTCCCAGCGCAAACAGAGTGGCCTCGGCAGGTGAGTGCTCCTACCTGAGCCTCGCCTCCGCCTCCGACCGGAGCATCTCGCGCCCCCGCGCCACCCCCTCCTCCTGGGGACGTCTCTAGAGGGCATCCCTCCCAGAAGGGCTTCCACCCTCCCAGTCTCCCTCCGCCCAGCCCACTTCCAGGGCCCTTGGGGCTGTTTCCGGGAGCCCCTCTCTTCCCCACCCACAACTTTCTCCTAGACCCCCTGCAGCCTCCCCTCGGCCCCCACCACCCACCTTCCAGAACTCTCTTCTCACCAAACCCAAAGGATATTTTAATATCCTTGGTCTTATTCAATACTGGTCCTCTTTAGGCACTGCCGACCACCCCCTTTCCTTTGTCTTGTGGGACACCACACATTTCTGCCCCTCCTCAGCCTCAAGAAGCCCGAGACCATCTAAAATTGAGGCACTAGAGAATGGCAGCAGAGTTGAGGGATTATGTAAAATAATCTGTAATTTGTTGCACCGAAGCTTTGTGTCCTCAATCTCTTGGTCACATCTTTTGAAAGTCATGGTACAGTCTATGGACAGGCCCTGACCAGTGTTTTAAAAAGTATTTTTTTCTTATACAATCCCAAATCTTGGACCACAGAATCAAGTTCCCTTATTTCTTTAAATAATGCTCTTAGATATACTTTAAGATGTCGTTTATTTCATATAAGTTTTATACTATTTTGTTAAATGTTAGATAAAAATAAGAACACTGGGGCGCCTGGGTGGCTTAGTCGGTTAAGCGTCCGACTTTCGCTTAGGTCATGATCTCGCGGTTCGTGGGTTCGAGCCCCGCGTCGGGCTCTATGCTGACTGCCAGCTCAGAGCCTGGAGCCTGTTTCAGTCTGCGACTCCCTCTCTCTCTGACCCTCCCCTGCTCACGCTGTCTCTCTCTCTCTCTCTCTCTCCTATAAATAAATAAATAAATAAATAAATAAATAAATAAAAATAATGAGAACACTGGACTTGCTCACGTAGAAGCTCACCATCTAGTGTGCTCTGAGTCTGTAAACAAATAAAACTCAAGTGCTCTAATAAAGATGGGACCAAATTTCATAAAATATGTATTCTTTAAATGAGTAAGTTTTAGGAATTAATAATAAGAGAAAGCTATTTATACAACTTACACAAAATATTATAAGTACTGACATTTATAAACATAAAAGACTTCTTTAAAAGATCATAAACTGTCAAAAGCAAATAGAGTAATATATTGTGAAACTTATAACATGTAGAAGTAAAATGTATGACAGCAATTGTAAAAAGGATGGGATTAAGGAGGTGGAAGTCTACTGCTAAAAAGATCTTGCATTATATGTGAAGCAGTAGAAACTTAAAAAGGTATGCGGGAAGGGGGACCTGAGTGGCTCAGTCGTTAATCGTCCAGCTCTTGATTTAGACTCAGGTCATGATCTCATCGTTTATGGATTGGAGCCCCCACATGGGGCTCCACCCTATCCATGCAAAGCCTGCTTGGAATTCTCTCTTACTCCCTCTCTGCCCCTTCCCCCTCATACTAACTCTCTCAGAATAAATTTTTTTTTAAAACTTTAAAAAATGAAATAAAATAGTATAAAAATGTACTCAGGAAATCCCAAAGCAACCATTGGGGGGAAAAAAACCCATGGAATTGTAGCTAATAATAAAAAGAGGTAAAATAGAATACTAAAAAATACTGTATTAGTCCAAAAGACTGTGAGAGGAAAAGAGGAAAAAGAACAGTTGGGACAGACAAAACAAATAAGATGATAGCCTTAAAGTTAATTGATAATTACATTAAACATAATATTCTATACACTCCAATTAAAAGGCAGAACATTAGCAAGACCTCTCTATATACTTTCCACAAAAGTGAAATGTGATATACATACAGGCTAAACATATAGGCTAAGGGTAAAAGTAAGGAAACACCATGTAAACATTAATTACGAAGAAGCTGGCATAGCTGTATTAATATCAGCCAAGGAAGACTTCAAGGCAAGGAAGATATTTGATAATATTAGGAGGGTTGTTTCATCAAGATGGCATAACAACCATAATGTGCATGCACCTAATGACAAAGTTTTAAGATACATGAAGCAAAAATGGATAGACTGCAAAGAGAAATAGATCCACAACTAGAGTCGGAAATGTCAATATCCTTCTCATAGCAATTGATACAATAAGGAAACAAAGTCAGTAAGTATTAGTATAAAGACTTCAATGACATGATTGACTAATTGACATTAATAGAACAGTATACCCAACAACAACAGAATGCCCATTATTTTCACCTGCACATGTAGAGTTCACTGACAAAGACCATATGTCAACAGATTTGACAACCTAGATAAAACAGGAACATTCCTTTAAAGACAGATTATGAAAGTTGACAAAAGAATAAATAGTAAACCTGAATAGTCATCCACATAAAACTAACATGAACATTCATGCTTAATGGTGAAAGACTGAATATTTTCTCCCACGAAGATGGGAAATAAGGCAAGAATGTCCGTTCTCACCCCTTCTGTTCAGTATAGTACCAGATGTCTTAGCTGGTGCAATGAGAAAAGAAAAAGGAAAGGCATACATATTGGAAAGAGGCAAGTCACGCTTTATTATTCTCAGATGATTGATCATTTACATAGAAAATCCTAAGAAATCTACAAAAAAGCTACTTGTATTGATAAGTGAATTTAGCAAAGTTGCCAGAATAAGGTCAACATAAAAAGAGGAAGTAAGACAGCTTCCCTTTAGGTTTCAGCTGGCATTCAGGGTTATGAATATTAGGGCTTAGACCAATTTTTGTGCCTGTATTCAGCATTCCAGTATTTATTCACCAATTTCACACATGTCTTGAAGCCAATTTGACAGTGGTGGTGGTGGCTATACCAACTTTCTGATCTCTGAATTGGAGCTATGTTCAATTCATTAGTCTAGTTCAGGGATCACCTTTAGTTTTTTTACAAAGGGCTAGATAGCTAAATATTTGAGGCTTTATAGACCACATATGGTCTCTGCTTATTAGCTTTTGTTTTTACTGCACTAACCATGAAGAAACTGAGAAATTTAACCTCATCAATCTTTAAAATATCTGTTCATCAAAAGGCAGAAATTAAGATAGTTGATATTCAATTAATTCCCAGACTGAAAAAGTTATTCATAATACATGTAGCTAACAAATGACCCCTATGCAGAGTTTTTAAGAACTCTCACAAATCAATAAGAAAAAGGAAAACAACCCAATTAAAAATTTTAGCAATTAGAAAAAAGACTTGAATAGGCACTTCACAAGAAAGAATATCCAATGACTTCTTAATTTATGTGTTAACAAAGGTGGGTTATTTTTTAAGTTAACTGGATTCCAGAGCTGCTGTGTTTTTATCTCTTGAAAGTCTGTGGTTATGTTAAATCTTAAATAGTAATTTATTGCTCTAATAATAACAGATTGACTTCTATGTTTTCTGAAATGTAAGCTTCTTTGTTTCTTTAATAATTCAAAAGGGATCTTTGGAATTTCCTCCATCCTTTCTTCACAAAGGTATAAAAATCTCTAACATGGTTGAATATTTATTAAAATAAGTTTAAGAATCTATTTCTCATTTGAATTAACTGCCCACCAGAAGATTAGATAAATATACTTACTGGCAGCGGCAGTGGTGCCAGGCCTGAAGCTGCTACGTTCCCCACACACATGTGAGGCATGGGGGCCTCAGATCCCAGGGCTACCTCAAGAAACAAGCCAAAGTACACATGGTGGAAAGTCCCAAATACCACTATGAGTAGGGAAACAAAATACCCAAACTCTCAACAAGAGATACCAAGAGACATCATTCAAAGAACACTTCCTGAACAGAGAGGCCCTGAACAGTCAAAGAGCCCTCTTTAATACAGCAGAACTTGCAGGGGCAGAGTGTACAACAAGCTTTTAAAATTAAGAGATAGAAAACTAGCAAAAATGACAAAACAGAAGAATATTCCTCCAAAGAAATTCCAGGAAAAACTGACAGCTAAAGAACTGCTCAAAACAGATATAAGCAACATAACTGAACAAGAATTTAGAAAAGTAGTCATAAAATTAAACGCTGGGCTTGAAAATAGCATGGAAGACATCAGAGAAACTATTGCTACAAACACTGTGGAGCTCAAAAATAGTTATGATGAATTCACAACTGCTATAAATGAGATACATAATAAAATGGAGGTGTCCAATGCATGGATTAAAGAGGCAGAAAGGAGAATAAGTGATTTAGAAGACACAATTATAGAAAAAGAGGAAGCTGAGAAAAAAAAGAGATACACTGATCCAGGAACATGAAAGAAGAGTTCGAGAGCTCAGCAATACAATCAAACTGAACAATATACATATCATAGGAATCCTAGAAGAGGAAGAGAGAGGGAAAGGTGCCGAAGGAGTCCTTGAACAAATTACAGCACAAAACTTCCCTAACATGGAGAAGGAAGTAGATGTTGAAATTCAAGACGCACAGAGAACTCCCCTCAAACGCAATTTGAATCGATCTTCTGCACAACATATCATAGTGAAACTGGCAAAATATAAGGACAAAGAGAGAATTTTGAAAGCAGCTAAGGATAAAAGGGCGCTAACATACAAAGAGAAACCTATCAGAGTGGTGACAGACCTATCTACTGAAATTTGGCAGGCCAGAAAAGAATGGCAAGAAATCTTCAATGTGATGAACAGAAAAAATATGCAGCCAAGAATC